CAAACTACGCCGTGGGGCGGCTGCACGCTCCTGCGCCGGCTGGACGCGGGGCTGCTGCTCGGCAGCTGCCTGGAAACCTCCGAGGATCTGGAAACGAAATAGAGGCGAGAGGACGGACGGTGGTTGGGTACTGAGGTCACCAGTGACAGGTCTGAAGAAGCCAGGCGTTAAAGTCCCCGCAGAAGTAAGGCCTGATACGGTCAAACAGCTTCATGTAGAAGGTTATGTCTCCTACAACTATTTTTTTTGGTAGGTCAGTCCTGTATCACAGCTAACACAGGTCTGGCTCTATCTTTTGGGGGAAGGAATGACTCCTTGTTAGGCGAAGGAGAGGGGGAGAAAGGCGCTAACAGGAGGTTTAAGCTCTACAGCAAGCAGGAAAGGCATTTCAACAGAGCAGTTACAAAAACCAATTTGTTCCTTCAATACCTGGTTTTATTCCTTAAAGAGCTCTCTCCCGGGGACAAGAAGCCTCTCTGCAGGCAGGCGCTGCTAGAGGAAGGGCGGCTTTCCGAAGGCAGCGGCAGCAACCGCAACTCACCTCGTACCCCCTTGGCTAGCAAAGCCCTGGACCGTTTCCTCCACATGCCTTTCGCTGAACTAGAAGCGCAAAGAACGCCTAAGCCTGCATAAAGCCCTCGTGCTCCGAAAAGCTGATGTCTTTTTGGCTCGTTAATGAAAGAAGTGTCCTTAATAGGCTCAGCATCCTGCTGCTCCTTAGCTGCTCCTGGGACTTGTGTCTCTGGCAGCGCTGCAAAGAAGCAGCTGTGCTCTTCACAGGCGGCCGGGGTGGCATCCCACGCGGGGCTTCCTGACGAGAAGCGGAAAAAATACGGTAGTTAGTGCGGCGTTGTAGTGAGGGGTCTGTATGTCCCGCCACCCCCAGCTGAGCGGGCGGAAATGCAGGCACCAGTTTCACAGAGAGTAGAGGGGACTCCCCAAATCAGGTCTGCTGCGGTGCAGGATGCCGCTGGAGAGGGCCGGGCCGGGGCACCCCTGCTTGCCGGGAGCGAGAGAGCAGCGAGGAGGCCTTGCAGCTCTTCTTCACCTCACTCCTTCTGCCCCAAGAGCCACCAGCGCCAGGCCAGGCCGCGGTGCCTGTGCGCCAAGCACGCCTGTACTCGGTAGGGCCACCCCTGTCCCGTGTGCCGGCCCCACGTCACCCAGCGGGGGGTCACCTGGGG